TTATATTATTATATGCATATATCTGCATGTATGGATACAAAACTCCTCATGTTACTTTCAAAATCATCTTGCTTGTTTTTGCTTCCTTCTGAATATGCTTTTATTTGCTCTGTGCATTTTTCAAAATGTTTAAATTGCTCTCTTCTCATCACTATTGCTAACCTCTCTCTTGCCTTACTTCCTATCATTAAAAGCAGAGAAAAAAATTCTTGTAACAAGTAAGCATAATTGAGCAAAATGAATTCCCAGAGTGCCTGTGTCCAAAAATATAAATCTCTTTCTGCATATTCAGTCCATCGCGTCTCTGTTAGGGCTCTAGAGACATGAGTAATCATTGCTTTGATCAGAGTTCATAAGTCTTTCAGAATTGTTTTTCTTTATAATGGTGTCTTTGTATATGTTATCCAGATTCTGCTCACTTCACTTTGCATGAAATCCTGCTTGCTAGGATTCTATGAAATCATCTCTTTTTCTCATTTTGCACAGCTGTACTATTCCATTACATTCTTACACCACAAATTGTACAGCCTTTCTCTAATTTATAGATACCCCCTTAGGTTCCAGTTGTTTCATTTTCCCATCCTTTAATCCCTGCTTTGGGATCAGGCAGCTTGTTTGGCTTGTGACTGTTTCCTTCCTATCATCCTTCCTCTTAGCCATCCTTTCCCTATCCCTGCTTGTTTCCTATTGAGTTTGATTTCTTTCTACACAAAGCTCTGTGTGTGTGTGTGTTCCTTGGTTTTTTGTCCATTTCAGATAAGGGTGCAGTTCATCTGATGCCCACTGTCCCAACTCTTTCCTCCATATTTGTATACTCTTCTCACACACAATAATTATGAAAAAAATCAAGTTCTAGCCCTTTCTTCTTCCCTTCTATACTAGAATATTCCTTTTTCTCTCCCTTGCCTTTCCCCTCTTAAACCCTCAGAAGAGAAACAATCCATCTCCAGGACCTATAATATATATTTTTTTCTTTTTTCACTCCTTCTGAAGACACTAATGTTTTGAAAGGAGACTTGCTTTCCTCTTCTCCTAATAGATAGGTAGCACCACATCATCTTATAGCCCCTTCTGGTTATTCAAATAAACTTACATTTCTAGATTTTTGTTGATACTAGTATTTGTATTTCAGAATTCTCACTTATAAATCTTTAAAAGTATAAAAGGGATAATTTCTATTACATCAAATTCAAAAGGTTATGTACAAATAAAACAAATGTAGCCAAGATCAGAGGAAAGCAGAAAACTGGGAAACAGTTTTTAGACAGTTTCTCAGATAAAGGCCTCATATCTCAAATTATAAAGAACTTTGTAAAATCTGTAAGAATATGAATCATTCCTCAATTGATAAATAGTCAAAGGATATGAACAGTTTTATGATGAAGAAATCAAAACAATTTAGTCATATGAAAAATGCTGTAAATCATTGATTAGAGAAATGCAAATTAAAACAACCTTGACATATCATTTTACACCTATCAGATTGGCTAAAATGATTGAAGGGGAAAGCAATAAATGTTCGTGGGGATGTGGAAAAATTGAAACTCTAATTCAGTGTTGGTGGATCTGTGAACTGATTCAACCATTTTGGAGAGCAATCTGGAATTATGCTCAAAGAGTTATTAAACTGCCTATGCCCTTTGATCCAGCAATACCACTACTAAGTCTATTTCCAAAGATGATTAGGGAAAAGGAAAAGAACCTATATATTCTAAAATATTTGTAGCAGCTCTCTTTGTGGTGGCAAAAAACTGGAAATTGTGGGGATGCCTAGCAATTGGGGAATGGTTGAACAAGTTGTGATATATGATCGTGATAGAATACTACTGTGCTATAAGAAATGATGAGCTCAATGATCTTAGAAAAACATGGATAGAGTTGGATGAAATAATGAAGAAAGAAATAAGCAGAACCAAGAGAACATTGTACACAGCAAAAGCAATATTGTTTTAAGAACAACTTGAACAACTAAGTCATTTTGACTATTATAAATACCCATATTAACTACAAAAGACATATGAGGGAAGAAGCTATCTGCACCCAGAGAAAGGACTGATAAATAGAAGTATGTATAGGATGATTTTACACACACACACACACACACACACACACACACACACACACACACACATTTGTGTATAATGATAGCCATCTCTAGGGCAAGAGGGGAGGGAAGAAAAAAAAAGTTTACATGATAAATGTATTATGTATTTAAAAGGAATAAGTAGTACATAATAGATTTGCAATTTCATGTACAATTATCTTTTTTTTTATTATTCTGTGATGTTATGGAAATGCTTGTTTTATTTCCTAAATTAAAAATAAAATGAAATGAAAAAGAAAGTCTCTTCAACTAAGGGCCTGTTTCTTTTGTTCTGTAGGATTATACTCAGCTTTTCAGGGTCAGTTATTCTTTGTTGAAAACCCATGTCTTTTGTGTTTTGGAATATTGTGTTACCAGGTTTCCTGTCATTCTGCGTAATAGCTGCCAGGTCTTGTATGATCATGACTGTAGTTCATAGTTATTTGAGTTTCTTATTTCTGAATGTTTATGACATTTCTTCTTTGATGTAGAAGCTCTGGATTTTGGTCATGACATTCCTGGGGCTTTTCCTTTCAGGAAGTCATCAGTAGTTTCTTTCTGTCTTCATTTTGCCCTCTGGTTCTAATAGATCTGGTCAGTTTTCATTTATGATTTCTTGAAATATAGTGTCCAGGATTTTTTTTCATGGTTTTCAAGGAGTCCAAAAGTTTATGAATGATCTCTCTTTGAACTGTTTTCCAGCTCAGTTCTTTTTGATATTAGGTATCTTGCATTTTCTTTTGTTTATTCAATCTTTTGAATTTGTTCTAATATTTCTTGCTATCTTATGAAGCTATTTCTATTTGGTCTCTTCTAATTTTAAGGAAATCTGTTACTTTGATAAGGTTTAGCATTTTCTGTTCTAAGCTATTTATTCTCTTTTCTATTTTTTACTCCAGTAAAGTTTTTTTATTTCTTTTTTTTTTAATCTCTTGCTGTATTTCTTCTAGGTATTCATGAAGTCCTTGTGGAAAATCAATTTTTTCCCTTGATTTTCTACTTGAAATTATTACAGTGCTAGTCACTTTTTAGTTTGGGCTTTTGTTATATCTCTAGATCTATAATAGTTCTTCATAGTGGTTGGTGTTTTCTTTGTTTTACTCTGCACTGCAGTCTTATTTCCTGAACTGAAGCTTAATGTCAAGGACAGGTCCTGCCACATTTTTGGATGGGGTTGTGGATGCTAGTTATTCTTGACCTGGGTTACATGGGTTCCTGCATTAACCCATACTGCCTGAGGTTAAGTACCTTCAGAAATAGATATTTGAGGCTCAGAGCACTGGATCTGCATGGCATTCTATGATATCTCAGGGAAAATAATGCTAGGGTCCTTGGAGCCTTGCTAAGGGTGTCCGTTCTGAGGGCCACCAAACCCATGGGGCAGCTAAGTGGCAAAGTGGATAAGGCATCTGGCCTGGAATCAGGAACACTTGAGTTCAAATCTGAGCTTAGATTTTTGCTAGCTATGTGACTCTGGGTAAGTCACTTAACCCTATTTGTCTCAGTTGCCTCATCTATAAAATGAGCTGGGTAAGGAAAGGACAAACCACTCTTTTATCTTTGCCAAGAGAACCCCAAATGGGGTCACAAAGAGTTGGACAGGACTGAAGAACAACAACAGTAAGGACCAGGCCCACGTTGGTCCCTGCCACTGCTGATGGCCTCTAAGGTTCCCTGGTTTGGCTTTCAACTACCCAGTTTTCTGGGAAAGCCCTCAGCTCTTGCTGATTCCAGATAAAGAGCCCTGCAGGCTGCTAGTGCCTCCATTCTCTCTCTGATCTTGCTGAGCTGCTGCTGGCTTGTTTGTAGGGGTGTACTGGAACCAACTCAAGCTCACTGAGCCAATTGTTAGATTTTCAGAAACTGGCAAAGCTACAAACCAGGGCTTGATCTGTTATTTTGTTGACTGTCTAAACTTAAGAAAGTGATAAGGAAAATGTTAAAAATGCAGATGAAACTTAAAAGTGTGTCCAGCATACATTTTTCCTGAAGTGCAGGTTGCTAAACATTTACCAGCATACCCATGATTGTTTGTGCTGGCATTGACTTAGCTGGCGGTTCCCTTTCCTGTTGCCTATGGGAATCTGGCTAACTTTTTGCATAGTTCTAGGCATAGAAGAAGTAAGTAACTTACTCTACTTTCACATTATTAGTCATCATTAGTCAGCCTGCTGTGATTTTTAGGTTTTTGGTGTGGGGAAGCTGATCTGCTTGCCTCCATTTGGGCAGCCATCTTGGTTAATCCAGAATCAGCAAAGGGTCAAATGCTGGTGAGCTAAATAAGCTCCTTTTTTGCCAAGAGAAATATATCTCTTTCTTGAGTTTCTGGGAAAATGGGAATCTCCAGAGATGAGTAGAAGAAGGAAAAGATAAGGGAACCAGATTTGCTACACTTTGGCTTTCTGTATTTATTTTGAAGTGTGTGAAAGGAGTCAGGACAGGTCTGAACTGATCAGGTTGCTTAAGGCAGCAATTGCTGGTGAAATCTGGCCCCAGACTAGGTTAATTAGGCTTTTGTCTAGGAGTGTGGATTTGAGGTTCAGCCTCCCTCTGTCATCAGTGAAGAATATGGAGGTAAGAAGACAGAATCCTTTTAGGTCCCACTTGAAAGAGAGATTAAATTTGTTATTCTTCATTCCAAAAGGAAGAATCAGAGTCAACAAGTGGGTCATGAGAAGGCAAATTTCAACTCTATAAGCAAGTACTGCCTAGAGTTTAGATTTTTCCAAAAATGAAATGGCCTGCTTTATGAGTTGCGGGCTGGCACTGTAGGTGTTTAAGCAGAAGGTAGATGACCTATTGTTGCCTCAGTCAAATGGAAATGTGGGAAAGGCCTGAGCTTAAAAAGGCCAAGGTCTCCCACTGCATCCAGGGCCATCTCCAGTTGTCCTGATTTATATTTTGTCAATGGACCAAGATGGCTCTGGAGGAGAAAGTGAGGTTGGGGCCTTTGCACAGCTCTCCCTCACTTCAATCCAATTCACCTACAAGTCATGGCACCACCTTCCTAATGCCATGGTCCTCTTCAAAAACAAAGGAGAAACAACAACAACAACAGTGACCTGTTGAAAGACAGTGTATATGGCAGAAAGAGTAAGTCTCATCTCCAACTTTTACTACCTATATGCCCTTAGCCAAGTCATTTAAACTCCCTGGGCTTCAGTTTCTTCTTCTGTAAAATGAGGCAGTTGCACTATATAGGTTCTGAGGCCCTTTCTGGATCTGTGTTCTTATGATGTAACATCCAGGGCTTCATAAAGGAGAATTAGCCATTAGATAGGTCAAATTAAATTATCTCTATGGGCCAATCCAGCTCTATAACTCTTTTTGTTGTTTGGTCATTTTACAGTCATGTTCAACTCTTTGTGACCCCATTTGGGGTTTTCTTGGCAAAGACATTAGATGGCTTGCCATTTCTTTCTCCAGCTTATTTTAAATATGAGGAAACTGAGGTGAACTGTGTTAAGTGACTTGCTCAGGGTCACATAGCTATAAGTGATTGAAGCCAGATTTGAACTCAGGAAGATGAGACTTCCTTATTCTAGGCCCCACACTCTATTCACTGAACCACCTAGCTACCCTTCTACTCTAGGATATAATAGTCATACTCTAATTTTTCTACTTTGTAAGTCTATGTTTAGGGCAGCAAGTGGCTCAGAAAACTCCAAATGGGGCCACAAAGAGTTGAATATAACTGAAACTGAACAAGAACAAAAAAATGTGTTTGCACATGTCACATTTTCTTAGACTTGGGACTATTCCTATGGCATGATTTTAGCAAACTAGTTTTGAAAAAAATAAAATTTAGACTACCTTGTTTTCTGACCTGAATCTTCTCCCCAAAAAATCATGTTTACCAAAAATCTGATAGAAGAATATATCAATTCCCAAGGAAATTAAGGACATACTTCTATATAAAGTTTGGCACTACATATATACAAATGTGCACAGATAAACAATAATTATTTTCTTAGTGTTTGTCTACTTTAAGGAAGATTTTAACTTCCTATAGAATAACACTCCTCTGTTCCCAGGCTACTCTTCACACTCAGTGATGTTACATGCAGAAAGAAATGGGGGGCCACAATAATTGCTTCCTTAGTGTTTATCTATTTTAAGAGTTAAATTTATGGTCATTCTTGAGCAAAAAATAAGTGTTACCATTGAGTAGTTTAAGTGGAACATACTTTGGATATTTAAAACCCCAGCATATAACATAGAGCTTTCCAACTGAAGGAAACTAGGCTTCTCTACATGAAATGGATATTTTGATCTGCAAAACTAATGGAAGCCAGGTGCTCTGGAGAACACACGAATCCAGAGATCTATTCTATTCAACAGTAATAAATTGTATATAAATTGCCTTTCACGCTTTGTTCATCTTGGCTATTCTGCAGGTATTGGAGACAACACAGCCTGTCTCTGTAAATTAAGAGAAAGAAGGATTACATTTTCTTCTTACGCACAGTCTAAGGCCACTGTTCCATAAATATAGGGTTCTATCTCCAAGAAGAGCACTCCATTTGGGCAGGTAAAAGGGAGAACGATGACCCCCAGGTTGTTAGCACTTTGGCTCCTTCTTCATTGGTCTTGTGCCTTTTCTGCAAGAGACCTTTCTTTGGGGTGCTTTCAAGACACTGAGGAGTTCCTTTCTGATCTGAATTCAGTAGTTCCCAAGGCGTATGCAATAAGAAGTAAGTGGGCTTTGGCAGGGGCTGGGGGTGGGCTGCAGGGCAGTTATAGGTGGATAGGTTTGGAAACTGACATGTAACTAGCCCAAGGACTGTGCAGTTGTTCATACTGGGAGATACAGAGGAGACAGTACTAGACTTGCAGTCAGGAGACAGTTTCAAATCCTGCCTTATAGAGTTATTCATTATAGGATCCTAGATGAGTCACTCAAGCTCTCTCAGCCTAAACTGTCTCTTCTATAAAATGGGAATACCATTCTAATAATTACTATGTATGTTTTCTGTTAAACTGACAGTAGATAATGTATTTTTTTTGCCTTTTTTTTGGTGAGGTAATCAGAGTTAAGTGACTTGCACAGGGTCACACAGCTAGTAAGTGTCAAGTGTCTGAGGCCACATTTGAACTCAGGTCCTCCTGACTCCAAGGCTGGAGCTTATCCACTGTGCCACCTAGCTACCCCCAGTATATAATATATGCCAAGCACTTTGCAAGAGATAAACCACTAGGAAAATGTCAGTATTATTATTATTGCTATTATTTTAACATTCAAGAATTTTCAAAAGAAAACCGGGAAAACAAACCTGCTTTTTCCATTTGCACTGGGATCCTGTTCTCAGTTTCCTTATCTATAAAAGAAGAGGGTTGGATTGATTGATTGATTCTATATTCTTACAGAATAACACTCCTCCCTTCCCAGCCTACTTCTCATATTCACTGTAGACCACTGGTGTCAAATGCAAACAGAAATGGGGGCCACTAAACCATGTAGAAAGATTTCTGCTGGCAGCATTTTAACTTTGAAAACCACATATTAATATTATTTATGTTCTATTGTGTTTTTATTTATTTTGTTAAATGTTTTCCAATTACGTTGAGAAATTGAGGTGTTTGGTTTTTAAAGGTGACTCCAAGTGATTGCAAACCTAACCAGAAAGAATAATATTAGAACCAGCTTCTGTAACAGGATAAAAGTTATTTTAAAACATATACTTGTTGTTTCAACAAATTATTCATTTCAAAATACATTTCCGTTGGTGCTAATTGAAATGAATAATACTCTACTGAATTGTAAGAAATGACTGTTTAATCTCGATTTCTTCATGTCTAGCCTAATCTATAAAATGAATTCATTTCCTCATTTTTCAGGCAATAAATCCTGCTTCCTAAATAGCCCATTAAAAAAATCCTATAGAGTGTTGTCAATGAATCTGTACAATAGCCAAAGCTGGCTGGGGGTGGGGGGGATGGGGGGAACGTAAGGAGTGTTGGGCAAGCTTGGATAAACTGGTAAGCAATATTTTTGCTTCATTGATTTCCCAAAATTATTCTCCATGATCACCCATGAACCCAACTAAACAGAAAGGACCCAGAGGTTCTCCTAGGGGGTGGGACAAAAACAAATATATAGAATTTTGGAATCAAAGAATGCTAAATTAGCTGGAAGGAACATGGTGATTATCTAATCTGTTCCTCTCATTTGACAGATGAAGAAACTGAGACCTAGAGGAGTAAGTCAGTTTGCCCAAGGCCATACCATATGTTTCATTTATAAAGAAGTAGCACAGAATGAACACTGCGCTAAGAGATTGCATCTTGGGCCATGTTTGGTTCTGAGCCCAGTATTTCAGAAAGAATATTTATAAGCTAGAGAACATAGAGAGAAAGCTATCCAAGTTGTTGAAGGGCCTTGACATCATGGCACGGGAGGAATCGAGGATGTTTAGCTGTAGAAGACTTCAGAGGATGTGTCAACTATTTTCAAACTTTCATGTGAAAGAGATTCACCTCATTCTGCTCAGTTTTAGAGGGCAAGAGTTGGAACAATGAGTAGACGCTACAAAGAGGCAGATTTTGGCTCTATACAAGGAAAAACTTCCTAACAATTGGAGCTTTCTAAAGGTAGAATATACTACCCTTAGAAGTCTTGGATTTTCCCTCATTCATGGTTTTTAGGCAAAAGCTGAATGACTGATTGTTGGAGATGTTATAAAGGAAGTTCTTGGCTAGGTATAGGTTAGACTGGATGGCCTGTGATGTCCCTTCCAACTGTAAGATTATCTGATTCCATGAGACAGGACAACCTGCCTTCCAGGCCCAGCTCTACAACTAATTAGTTACGTAACTTTAGTCAAGTCACCTTCTCTCTGCATCTCAGTTTCCTCATCTATAAAATGAGGCAGTTGGATTGATTGACTGATTTTATCTTCCTATAGAATACTCCTCCTCCATTCTGGGCCTACTCTTCATCCTCATTATAGACCAGTGGGGTAAAACTCAAATAGAAATGGGGTCCACTGAACCATGCCCAAGTATACCTGCAGGCAGTATATTGACTTGGAAAACCGGATATTAACATTATTTATGTTCTGTTATTTTTTTGTTTATTTTGTTAAATGTTTCCCAATTACATTTTTGTTTTGTTTTGTTTGCTGTGCAATGGAGTTAAGTGACTTGCCCAGAGTCACACAGCTAGTAAGTATCAAGTGTCTGAGGCCGCATTTGAACTCAGGTCCTCCTGACTCCAGGGCCAGTGCTCTATCCACTGCACCACCTAGCTGCCCCCCCCATTACATTTTGATCTGGTTTTGAAGGCCCTTGAGAGTATTGTACACCAGTGCTAGACACCTCTACTGTAGGCAACATGGGTGGCCATCCTAGTGCCTTAAAAATAGTATGCACTTAAATGTCTATTGAATTTGACCGTGATGTCAGTGGAAACCCAGATCTAAGACAAAGAGTCAAGGTAGGGGTGTGTGTGTGTGTGTGTGTGTGTGTGTGTGTGTGTAAAAAGTTCATCTTTTTCTAATATAGAATAATTAAAATGATAATTTCCATTTTTATTCATTTTAGGATCCATGTCCTACTTCTTATAAACATACAATGATAATAATAAGGATATACTTTATTTCAATATACAATAACAATGCAGGAAAACCCAGTTGCACTAACAGTGGCTTATTCATGACATCATGGAATTTGAAACAGTTATCTTTTCTGCCAGATGTCTGATAACTCTATTGTTATTTAAGAAAAATGTAAGAAGTGATTCCAATAAGCAAAGTAATTTCAATTACTATTTGTTGAATTGATGGAGTTGTCTGATATTGACTAGGAATAGTCTGGTAAACTGAAGGCCAAATCAGTAGGCTGGACCCGACCTATTTCAGAGCAGCATCTGCTGATGGGATGATTACCCAGAGCTTTTGTCTCTAATTCCATTCCATTTCAGCTACTTATCTTGCTGCTTCATTACTTGAATATCATGTCAAGAAGGTTGTGTTATGTGTAGGACTCTGAAAATTGACCATTGGTGGTGAAGGGTGGGGACGGGACGAAGAGACAGCATGTTTTCTTTTGCAAAGCTAAAAATAGGATAGAGTTATTTGGTCCCAAAATGAATAGAATGAATCATTGTGTCCTTTGGCTATATGGGGAATATGATTTAGGTCCCTGCATGTCTGAACTGATTTCCGTTCTCATGCGGCAGCTAGTCCTGGTTTAAGCAGTGTCTGCTCTTGAACTTGGTGTGTCTTTTTGTAGCGTGGTTTGGGATTCTGTCCCATCTTTTCAGCTGGGTTTTTCTAGTAACAATAATTCTTAGGGAGAAAAAAAAAGTGGAGCTAATCAGCAAGCAATGACTGCTGTTGGTGGTCATCAATAAATGAGTAAACTAACAGGTATTTATGGAGGAATTCCCAGATTATGTGCCCAGAGGTGTCAAAAGATTACGCAGACCACATACTGATTTAGTTTTCTTTTTTTTTTTTTCCTGGGAAGGCAATTGGAGTTAAGGGACTTGCCCAGAGTCACACAGCTAGTGAGTGTTATGTGTCTGAGGCCAGATTTGAACTCAGGTCCTCCTGACACCAGGGCTGGTGCTCTTTCCACTGCGCAGCCTAGCTGTGCCCTTGACTTTGTTTTCAAATGTAACATTTTCTGGGGTTTTTTTGTTTGTTTTTTGTATATTTACCTATCTTGTCAAATATTTCCCAATTACATTTTAATCTAGCTTGGATGCACTCTGGGGTGTTGCTAGGTCACAAGCAGCATGTTTACCACCTCTGGTATAGTGGATAAAGAGCTGGCCTTGAAGCCAGGAAGACTTGGGTTCAGATCCTGCCTGTAGTACATACAGCCTGTGTGATCCAGAGAAAGTCACAAATTCTCAGTTCTCTAGACAATTCTCTAAATTGGAGAGAGAAAGTGAGAGCACTGTTTTCTACTGGGAGAGAGAGGCTGCTCATCTGGGAGCCCCATGTACCAATGGGCAAGTCACTTCACTTCTGTCTGCCTCAGTTTCCTCAAATGTGAAATGGAGATAATTAAAGCACCTACCTCAGGGTTTTTGTAAGGATTAAATGAGATAATATTTGTAAAGTAATTAGCACAGTGTCTGGCACAGAGTGGGCACCATATAAATGCTTATTCCTACCCTCCCTCTCCTCAATGGACTCAGGTCCAATCTTTATCCTTATGGGCCTAGGTTGGAGATGGGCTCTAGGGCTTGGGCTATGAAGAAGTGTATAAGACACAATCTTTGTCCTAATGGAATTCACAATCTTGTGGGAAAGGAAGGAAACAAGTTTTATTAAGTGCCTACTAGGTGCCAGGCAACAATGTTGGGGAGTAGATGCTGTTATTTTCCCCATTTTTTTACAATTGAGGAAACTGAGGCAACCAGAGGTTAAGTGACTTGCCCAGAGTCTCACAGCTACTAAGTGTCCGAGGCCAGATTTTAAGTCAGGTCTTCCTGATTCTGGGCCTGGAGCTCTATCCACTGTACCACGTAGCTGCCCAGGTAGAGAAAAATAATAACATTATAAATGGAGGAAAATGCTCTGTAGTATTTGAACATAGAGTTAGGAGAAGGGAGAAATGCCATGACTAATCAGAAAAGGCTTCATAAAGGAGGAAGTGAGGCTTGAGATGGGCTTTGGGTGTTGCATAGGGGTAGGTAAGATGAAGGGAAGCTACATCAGCAAAGACATATATGTGGAAGAAA